CTCCTGGCCCACATCCAGCTGGCCTCTGCCCATCAAAGCCTGGTCCCTCCCCGTACGGGCTGGTGCAAGACTACAGCTGCCAAGAATGCCTGGGTGGTGGGATGGCCACTCCTGCCCGAAGGGGGACGGGTGCGGATCCCACTCACCTGGGCAGGCAGCAGCTGCCTCTTGTCTGGGTTGCTTCTAGGTTCAATTTCCTCCCCACCTCCTTGTGGGCGTTATTGTCAAGGAGTAACGTTGGGGGTGGAGAAGCTCCCCCCCCCCGTCTCTTGCTGAGGCAGCTGCTGCTTGTCTTCCTTGTGGGTTTCCATTGCCCAGCCCTAAAACTATAGATGGGTCAGTTTCGGGGGGTGAAGGATGGGATCTGCAGAGGAAATGTGGCCTGGTTGCCTGTGGGTTCCGTGATTTATTTAAGGGCTCTTCAGCTGACATCCCCCAAGAGGCTCAGATAGCCAGGCAACCCAAAGGGAAGGGGTCCAAGGGTAGAGAAAACATCCCAGCCTAAAGGTGACACAGGGATCCTAGAAGGAAGAGGATGCTTCCGTGGTGGTGGTGACTGGCAAAGGGTATGCAGTGTTGGCCTTCCTCCCTGAAAAACAACACACCCTACACGTGCAGCAGGTGCAAGCTGGTAGCGCTGCTGGAAGAGGAAGTGAGAGAACCAGAGCAGAGAGGCACACCCCACATTTAAGGATCTAAGAGGAGATGAAGAGTTATGTACATAGACAGAACTCTCGAGGAGCAGCAGTGAAGGGAGGTCCTGGAGGTGGATGGACAGCAAGACAAAGCAGAGGAGGAGAATGCCGAGGAGAGGGAGCAGACATTGTGCAGGAAGAACCGGGGGAAAGTGTCGCCATTCGAAGTCAAAGAAGGAGAAGGCACTCTTCTTCCCCAGTGGAACTGCAAACCCACTTTCAGAGTCTCAGAAAGGAGTCTGGCAGGCAGCATGCCGAGGGAGACATACAGGAGACCCCACGGAAGAACGTAAGAGAGGCTGAAGCTGAACCCACCTCTTACGAAAAGGGGTAGTCTCTGCTGCATGTCATTGAAACGGAAATATGCGGGGAAGATCCAGGGATCCACAAGGTATGCTGTCTGCATCAAGGGCGGATCATGGATGTGACGGAAGGACAGCCATCGCTCATAAAACCCACAGATGCCTATCCCTTTTTTCTTATCCACGTTGGGAACAAATGACACAGCCTAGAGGAACCACATGAAGGAATCACATCAGACTTGGAAGCTCCGGGACCTTGGGGTCCAAGTAGGCTTCTCCTCCATCCTGTTCATGCTTAGCAGAGAAACAGAAAGATATTACAGTTTAATGACTGGCTGAAAAGGTGATGCCAACGTGAGGGATTTGGATTTTGAGACCAAAGACCAAATGCTTCTTGGAAGATGGACAGCTGGCAAGTGGTGGGTTGCACCTCCCACAGACTGGGAAGATGATGTTCGTCCAAAGCATGAAGAACTTCATCAGGAGGGTTTTAAACTGAATTGGGAGTGTGAAGGAGACACAGACTAAGAGGTCAAGACAAAGGAAACCTTATGCACAGTAAGAGGAACAGAGCAAGCACCTCTAATGGGGCTGAATCATCGTCTTCGTAAAAATGTACAAAGAGAAGCAGGCCACAGATCACAGCATCTCCGATGTCTATACATGAATGCCAGGAGTATGGGAAACCAACAAGAAAAATCTATACATGAATGCCAGGAGCATGGGAAACCAACAAGAAAAACGGGGAATGTGACTTGATAGGAATAACTGAGGATGACTCCCATGGCTGGAATGTGGCAATTGAAGAATATAAATTGTTCAGAAAGAACAGAAATGATAGAAAGGGAGGAGGAGTTGGGGTACATGTCAAAAATACATATTTCTGCACAGAAATGCAGCAGAAGGAGATTGGTTCTCCCATGGAAAACATCTGGACCAATGCAGTTGGGGTGAAAAACAATACAAACATATCAGTCAGAGTCTAGTATGGACCACCCAGTCAAGGAGAAGATGCAGGTGAAACTTTTGAAAAAACAAATTGCAAGGATTTCAGAGACAGGATGGAGTAGTGATGGGAGATTTCATTTATCCTAATATCTGTTGGGAGACAAATTCTGCCAAGTATGGTCCTTCCAAGAAATTCCTGGCTTGTGTGGTTTATAATGTTCTCCTGAAAAAAGGGGAGGAGGAAACTAGAGGATTAGCTATCCTGGACTTGATCCTAACCAATAGAGATTGGTGGGAGAAAATTGGCAAGCAAGAGGAATTCTGGGGGAAAGTGACCACGTTCCACTTGAGTTCCTGGTTTCAGGAGAAACAAAAGCCGAGTGTAGCCACACGTATACACTGGACTTTAGGAAAGCCCGTTTTAATAAACTCAGAACTATGATAGGTAAGGTCCCGTGGCAGGAAATCCTAACAGGGAAAGGAGTCCAAGATGTTTGGGAGTTTCTAAAAAAGGAAATTCTGAAGGTACAACTACAACAAATTACAACAGGAAGAAAAGTTGAAAGATAGCAAAAATGACCCATGTGGCTTCACCGAAAGCTGAAAGAGGAGGGCCTGAAACCTAAAAAGCACACATACAGAAAATGGAAGGAAGGCCAGGACACAAAGGAAGAGTACAGACAAGTAGCAAAGAATTGCAGGGGTGGCATTAAGAAGGCAAAAGCTGAAGGTGAGTTGCGGCTAGCTAGAGACGCTAAAAGCAACGAAAAAACACCTTCAGGTACGTGCATAGTAAGAGAGAGAGAAAAGAAACAGTGGCTCAGGTGCTCAATGGGAATGGGAATATGAGAACAGACGACAAAGAAAAGGCAGAAATGCTCAATTCCTGTTATTATTTTCTTGAACTCATGGAGTGAAATGCCGGATGATCGGGCAGCTGCTCCAGAGCTGGCTGGGCTTGTCCTTTTCGGCTTGTGTAAATGTCAGGAGCACATGTGCTAGCAGCAGTTTCTTAGCAGCCTCCAAAGTTTTCACCTACCTCTGCAGTGATTGTTTTTATCCCTCCCGCAAAAGAGACTTTGCACAGTTCCTCTCAGTTAAAACTCCTTGGAAGGACATGGAATTTTGCAGACTTGTTTGGCAGTTGCCAGCAGATGGTGCCCTTGTTGTACGGATCTCTCCTGCAAGACGCTGGTGAAATGAACCTCAAAAACTGCTTTTTTGGGGGGCTTTTGCCATGGGACGGGCTGAATGGAATTCAGGGGGAGTTGCAGAGAGAGCGGGTCTTTTCCTCTAGTGGGTCCATAATGTCAGCACAGGTGTGTCCTGTGCAAACCTGACTTAGAAGGGTGGAGGGGGCTGAATGGAGTAATGGAGGCTAAAGGACAAAGCAAAAAAGCAAATTGTGCTACTTATATACTGCCTCATAGCGGTTAAAGTACTCTCTGGGTAGTTTATAATTTAATTATGCAGGTGACACATTGCCCCTTCCCCTTTTGAGAGCTGGAGATTCAGTTTATTGACCATTGAAGGATGGGTCAACTTTGAGCCAGCTACCTGAACACGTTGGGATTGAACTCAGGTTGGGAGCAGAGTCTTGACTGCAGTTCTGCAGTTTCACCACTGTTGCCACGAGGCTCCCTATCATTGGAACCTGTGTGTCTCCAGGTGGGGTTCAGGTGCCACGTTGTTCCTAAAGAGGTCACAGACCTCTAGGACAATGAATTCACTTGTGAACTTCCTGGTCGTGTTCACGCATTGCTTGCTGGGCGTGTAAGGACAGGCCGGCTTGCAGGTTCCTCTCTTTCAACAAAGTGCCTTTGATTGTCTTTGTGTGACTTTTCCTGCACCTCCCATGGCTGCCACATTCTCTCTCTCTCTCTCTCTCTCTCTCTCCCCGGTGCTCGGCTGCTGACCTCCCTGCTCCCGTGCTGAACCCCCACCTCCATGTTTCTCCTCCCTTCCTTGCTTCTCTGGTCTTGCATCCTTGGCCCTGCAGTAGCCACGGTGCCATCATCCTCTCAGCCTTGCCGTCTCACCTTAGAAATGCAGCAGAAGCAGCTGCTGGCCAGAAGCCTTTGTTGCAGGACGAGAAAGTGGCTGGCTGTGTGAATGGGTGAGCTTGGCCACTTGGGAAGGGGCTGCCTCTGCCCCTCCGCTAGCCCTCCGTGGGTCCCTGCCAAGCCTGCCTGGCAGTCCCGGGGTGGATCCCTACTCCTGCTCTCTGCTGGGGCCAGAAGACGGGAAAGACCCCAAGGGGGCGGGAAAGGTGCGGGAAAGCCTGCCAAGGGATAAAAGGGAAGCCCAGGAAGAGTTTGAGGCCATGGGTAGGAAAGAGGAGGAAGAAGAGAGGGGGCGGTGGGAGCAAGATGCTTTGCTTTATTACCGGGGCTGTTCTTTGTTGTGTGTGCACGTGTGTGTGTGTGTGTGGGGGGGGGACGGACAGGTTCCCTGTCTTCCTTTGAAGCAGGGCTGAGCGTTTCCCCTAAAAGCAGACCCTTCCCCAGCTGGCAGTTCCCAGCGTTCCTCCCCAGTGGCTCTGCTGGAGAGGGTGGATGGGAGAGGATGGCAGTCCTGCAGCATCTGGGGAGCCAGCCCTGGGACCTCAGGGGCCCACGGAGCCACAAGGGCGGCTCTCCTGCTCGACAAGCCAGCAAAGGCGGCCGGCGTGGTGGGTCCCCAGGAGTAGATCCAGATCAAGCGTTTTGGGGCAGCATTTTCTGTTTTCATGTCACTTCTTTTTATTAGGGCTGCTGGAATGTTAGAAAGTGGGGAGGGAACCTTTGACTTCAAGAAACACTTCTTTGAACCGCATCCTAAGCAGAAGACGGGGATGGGGGGGGAGGCATGCCAGGAGGCCCTGGCCTAGCTCCACCCTCCCTTGGCGTGGGCTGCTAATGGAGGCTTTCATCTGCTATTGCTGCTATCCTCTGTGTGTGTGTGTGTGTTTTCGTGGTTTGGGTCACCTGGGGGGGTGGTGGAGGTGTGTCTTTCCTGCCCTGGGCTTCTTCAGGAAGGAGACAAGCCTAATACAGCCCTTGATTTTGTCTTGCAGCCCCCACCCGGTGAAGCCCATCAGTAGCACCCCCAGGCCAGAGCTGGAGGAAGAGGAGGAGGAGGAGCGGAAGCGGCGAGTTGTCAGCCTGACCCCAATCCGGAGCGCCCCCCAGGAGAAGCTCAAGCCAAGCACTGGGGGTGGCAGCGTGGACTCTTCCTCTGCGACCCTGCAGCTGGAAAAGGCAGAAACAAAAAGGGTAAAAACCGGAGGCAGAGGGGGTGGGAGGGTGGCCTTCCTGAGCTCCCCCTTCCCCCCCACCCAAAATCCCACCAGGGTCATGGATGCCTGACTCCCTGCAGGGGTTTCTTCCCCCTGAAAAGCCCTGCCCCCCTCCCCATGGATTCCTGTCCTGGATCCCCAGAGGAGAAACTTTCCCCTTCCTTCCTTCCTGCATTTAGCAAGTGCCCTTCCGCCCCCCCCCCCCCCAAAAGGGCTCTTGCCAGGGAGCTGTGGCTCTGACGTCCTTGCCTCCTGGAGGGTCTCCCTCAGGAGGTGGCTCATGATGATGCCTCCTCTGGCTTTCCTGCTTTCAACCCACCCCCGGCCCTTCTCCAGCTGACCTGGGGGAACCCTTCCTGGCTAAGCTGGGCAGCGCCAGCTCCCCTCAGCGCCTGCCGGGCTTGGCAGTAACATCACCCAGCCGGGATTAGGAGAGGAGGTGTGGAAAGGGCCCCTTGAGAAATGCTCCGGCCGTGGCCTGGCAGCCTTGTTCTGGGACCGGCAGAGGGCATGTTGGGGGGGTGGAGTGGGGTTGGGGCCCTCCACATTCACCTGACCAATGTCCTGTGAGGGGGGTGGAATTGCAATGTGCTCTTGCGTCTGATGGCCTGGAAGGCAAATGCCAACACGGAGCTCAGGGGGAACCAGAACTTGGGAGCGAGGAGCTGTGGAGGGACCTGCTGCTAATTCAGGTTCTTCTTGGTGAATGCACACAATTGCGGTGTTACTGCGCCTGTGCAGGCCCTCCTGGAAGTTTCTAGAGCTTAAAGGCCCGTGATTAGTGGGACGTTCCCCCCGCGGAGGACCTGCTCCACACATCACTGATCCCTTCAGTTCCTTTTTTCCGCCGTTTTGGCTACACCGGTTTCGGAGACTAGAGCGATCTATTGAATTAATACTTCCGATTGAATCATCATTTATTTACTTCAAACTCCTTTCAATCATCTTTCTTTATTGGATGTTTTCCCTGTGAGTTTATTCCAGTTTCTTTCTCTCTACCCGAGTTTTGCCGATCCTCCCCCATGACTGTTTTTTCCCTCCTGTTTTTCCCGCTCTTTTATGCCCCCCCGGCCTTTCAAGCGGTGCATTCTCTGCGCAAATAAAATCCTGCTATCTGACGGCCACGACTGTTGCCTCTTCTCCCTTGGAGAACAACGTTCTACACACTCCTGTTCTGAGTGTAAAAGGCTAACTAAACCAGTGCTTTTAACTGTGTTTACAAAGATTGAGGTCTTACCTCTGGGAAATATCTCTGGTCGCAATTTGGTCTGCACAATCTCCAGACCCTTGACCAGATTGGCAAGAGCCACTTCTGATGTCTGCTTCTAGCCCCGCGACTCCTTCTCCTCATCATAAGGAGAAATCGAAGTCCGTGTCGACGTTGAAGGCCTCGACTCTGTCTCTAGACTCTTCGAAGGAAAAGAAAAACCCAAGACGACCTCTAAGAAATCAAAGAAAACCTCAAAGTCCACTGAGCTCGACCCACCTCCCATCCTGGATGAATCATCTAGAGATGCTCCAGGCTGTCTGTCTGACAGAGATGAGCCATCTCTACCTCCGGCCCAAGCTCCAGCCTCCGCTGGTAGCTTGTTGCAGAGTATTGGCCTCTCTCCGGCTGAAGTTCATTCCAGCCAGGCCTCAGCCTGTTCGAGCCCTTCATCGTCAGGGTGGGCAATTCCTGTCGAACTATCCGGCTCCAATTCATCTTGTCACCTGCTCTGTACGACCTCCCACACCGGGAGTACTACTATTATCCACAATCCTCTCGACACCACTTCCAAGATGATAGAAGAGATAGATACTACCAATATGACCTGACAGTCCTCAAGAACAAGTATATTATGATGAACCTAAACGGGTCCGCTCTAATTGACCATATCCACCCTGATACTCACCTTCACTGTCTCCATCTCCTCCTCGGCACTGACACTGGCCTCAGCATTTGATACTGACTCATACAACCCTTCTGTCTAAACCAACCTTGAAAAGCCCTTCATCGATTATAGAACATTCTCAATCAAAGTGTCCTAAGCATTCCTCTAAACACCTTCCCCAGGCATCTCTGCAAGTTACTACCACTTATAAAGGTTCCCCTCCTCTGCCTACTAACACGGAGAGATATTCCACACAGATGGTTCCCACTGCACAACCTCTTTCCTCCATGCAAATATCAATGTTAAAACCTCAACACCAATCTTCTTCATCATCTCCATCGATTCAGGACCTTGCGTCTGACGTATCACAAGAATCACCATCTAATTTACCAACACCGACTTCTGATTTCACTATTTCACCTCTTATTCTCAACTAGTCATGAGAATGGCTAAATCTTTACAACTTGAAGTTGAGGAACCACCACCACCTAAGCAGGACTTGGTGTTTGACGATATTAATCAAGATAAAATGCCCCCTCTCAGTTTGACATTCATTCCGGCTATGCTTGATTTGACCAAGGAATCGTGGGACAAACCTCCCACTTCCTTAGAAATTTCCAGATGTATCGAAAATCATTACAAGGCCCACGGTGCAGATACTACATTTCTCACCAAACATCCAACACCAAATTCCATAATAGTAGAGTCAAACCAATCAAGAGCCCAAAATAGATCCTCAATTGCACCTACAAACAAAGAAGGGAGAAAGGCAGGAGGCTTTATTCCCTCGCGTCATTTTTAAGGCGAGTTGCAAACTATCAAGCTGCAATGGGAGCTTACCATAGGCAACTATGGAACAAGATTCTCCCAGTACTTGAAACAACACCAGAATTGACTAAGTCAGAAGCCCTTAACATCCATACTGAGGCTTCCACACTTGCCAAACAGAGGACTGCGTCTCGCCATATCGTGGATGCCGCCTCTAAAGCTGTGACCACCTCTATTGCGCTCCGGCGTCATGCGTGGCTTTCTGGGATATTGGATGATACCAGATCTAGAATAGAGGATCTACCGTAATTGATGGGGCTGCACTGTTCAATGAAAAAATGGACAAAGTGATGGACAACCTCCATAAGATCAGTAAAACAGCTCGATCCTACTCAACCCAGCAAATGTACAGATACCAACAGCCACAATATCGAAGACAACCTTTTTACCAGCAATCATACCAACAATTTCAACAACCATACAAACAATACAAACCTCAAACATCGGACAGATCTTTTCAGGGACCCTCAACATCGGCTCCATCGTCCTTTTGAACCCAGCAACAGCAACCATACTGCCAACCCTTTCGGCGCCCTCAAAAGAAGAGTAAGCAATACCCATAGACTCCCTTCACCTACTCTCAATTCTTCAACCAGGTTCCAAACAAGATTACATCCCTTCTTTAATGCTTGGCAATCTATAACTAATGACCAATGGGTCCTTTCTATCATTAAAAATAGTTGCCTCACTGAATTTAAAACTATTCGACCGATCGGAAAAGTTAAAAATGCCCCTTATTCGACAGTCCTTCAAGAAGTTTCCCTTGTTCTCCAAAAACAAGCCATAACTACAGTCCTTCCATATGACCTGCATGATGGTTTCTACTCCAGATATTTTACAGCACTGAAAAAGGATGGATGAGTTAACGGGCAAAACACCTCCTGAACATTTAACGGCCCATTCTACCAGAGTGCTGTCAACATCTACTGCCTTCCAGCGTGGGATTGAACTCCCTCACATCTGCCGTGCAGCTACGTGGTCTAATCCATCGACCTTTGTGAGACACCATCACCTTGATGTCCGAGCAAAAAAAGGATGCTGCTTTTGGCAGAGTGGTCCTGACATCTCTTCTGCCATGATGTCCCACCATCCGGTAAGTCAGCTTGCAAGTCACCCAATTGTGTGCATTCGTAGAGGCCACAAAGAAGAAAGAGAGGTTACCTCCCTGTAACCATGGTCCTTCTAGTGGTTCTCTGAGAATCCACACATCCCGCCCATCCTCCTCTCTGTCCGTCACGTTCTTTTTTAATATACCAGTAGTTCTTCGAAAACAGCAGACTCTTACAGGAACTGAGGGGACCTCTGGCGGGTGGAGCATGCACGCCATGGGGGGAACATCCTACTAATCACATGTCTTTCAGCTCTAGAAACTTCCGAGAGGTTCAGCGCAGGCACAGAAAAACCCAATTGTGTGCATTCACAGAGGACCACTAGAAGAACCGTGGTTACAGGGAGGTAACTTCTCTCTTTTTCAAGTGATGAGGGCATGAGGGAAGTACTTTGCAACTGCACTGGAACAAGCATGAACTATGTTGTTGGATGAGCGTAATGGTTAATGCTTTCTAGTTACTTTCGAAAGTTACTTTTTAATCCCATTTTAGAACCATTTTGACAGGACTGCAGGATTTTCTGCCTTTCTCCTACTGGACACAGAGGTTGTGCTTTAAAAAAAACAGCAGCAGAAAAATAATTAGCTGGATAGACTGCAATGCAATGAGGTGCTTTCCAAATTACCATAATAAGTAACTGGAACAATTTGCTTTTAAAAAAGGGGGGGGAGAAAAGAAACTTCCCCAGCTTTGGGGAGGAGAAATCAACAGGGTCTTCCAGGCAGTGGTGAATCA